AAAGGTGATTCATTTGAATTGGTCACAAAAAAGTTTAATAATAATTCAGTCTTTATCCCAAATGTACAAAAGGTGTAGACATGTAGGTTGACAGCATGCATTTTCTTTTTTCTTCCGGAATGAAATTTTGATTCATTGCTTTAAATTCTGGATTGCTTCATTTAAAAAGCCATGGAGGTCAAAGGGAAACATAGGCTGCATTAGTTGATGTTGATCCTGTTGGCCTAAGTTTCTCCCTCGCACCTAGCTGGGTGTCTTGCACAGCCAAGTCTGTGGATTATTTGATCCTGATGAGATCATGAACAGGCTTACTTACTTCCAGTGTGCCAGTCTGAAGTTTTCTAAGTGTAATCTGTGTTTCTAGGAGTTTTTGTTGCATATATTTTAATTGGGGGGGGGGTTGTCTTGAGACAGGGTTTCTCTGTGTGACTTTGACTATCTTGGAACTCGATCAGTAGACCAGACTGGGGCCTAGAATGCGGATTTCTGCCTACCTCTGCCTCCTGAGTACTGGGATTAAAGGTGTGTGCTACCACCATCTGGCTTAGTTTAATATTTTGATGCTATATTGTTGAGATGATACCATCTGATGGATTTTTACTTCCTTTCACTGTGGGTTCTCTGTAGATACTTTGGCATATGCAACAGTACTAACGTTTGCTGATGGATTTGTTCATGGTAACCGTGAGAAGCTCACCAGTATTTAAATACCAAGCCTCTTATAAAATCAGATTCCATTGGGCACAGTAGTCCAAGACTTTAAGCTCAGCCCTGAGACAGGAAGATTGCAAGTATAGGGCCAGCCTGGGCAATATAACAAGGAACGGGCCTGTTGTGAGATATTTGATTACACTGTGTAAAGATAGTGATCAGTTTAATAAAAAGCTCAATGACCAACAGCTAGGTAGGAGATATAGGCAGGGCTCTGGGAAGAAGAAAGGGGAGTTGACAGCCAGATGCAGAGGAAGCAGGATATGCAGAAGAGAGAAAAGCCACGAGCCACGTGGCAGCATGTAGATTAATAGAAATGGGTTAATTAAAGGTTTAAGAGCTAGTTCATTTAAGTTAAGCTAAGGCTGAGCTTTCATAATTAATAAGAAGTCTCTGTATTTTTCCTCTCAAGACAGGTTTTCTCTGTGTAGCATTGGAGCCTGTCCTGGATCTCACTTTGTATACCAGGCTGGACTTGAACTCACAAAGATGCACCTGGCTCTGCCTCCCAAGTGCTGGGATTAAAGGCGTGCACCACCACCGCCTGGCAAGAAGTCTCCATATTATTATTTGAGAGCTGGCTGGCAGGACAGAGAAAGACTCATCACACGGTTCTATCTGAGATACCTACCATATAGTAAGGCCCTGTCTCAGAAAGCAAAACAAACCCAAAATAAGATTTGATTATTTGGGAGACTGTGCCTGTGAATTATGTCTCCAGTTCAGTTTATCACTGGCTCATAAGTGTATCAGCCCATTCAACAATTCAATACCCACAAGGTAACAGCATACGAACACTACTGTGAGAATATTAAATGTCATCATTTCCCTTCTTTCCGTGATTGCTATTATCTGCCTTCTATTAGAGCGTGTTTGAACCTAAAACGTCAAAACCCAAGTGTAAATTTTATGATGAATTTTCTAAGCAGCGGTCTTTTATTGAAGAGAGAAGAGGTCATTCTGAATTCACCGCATGCAATTATCCACTCAACATAAAACATGATGTGTCAGGCAGTGGTGGTGTTCAACTTTAATCTGAGAACACTCCAGAAGCAGAGGCAATCGAATCTCGGAGTTTGAGGCCAGCCTGGTCTACAGAGCAAGTTCCAGGATAGCCAGGGCTACACAGAGAAACCCTGTCTCAAAAACAACAAAACAAAAACAAAAAAACCAACAACAAAAAATCCAAGGTGCTAAGTCCAATGTAAGTTGATATATGTAAACAGCTAGGCATGAAATATGTTATGTCCTTAACTAGTACCAACAAGTGATAAACTGATTTTCAACTAAGAAGAATTTAGATGAATAAGGTAATTTAACTGAAGCAAAAAATTATGTCATCCCATGAAATATATTGACATCAGTCTTTCAGTGCACATGATCTAGCCTGAGAGACCTGTTTTGCATAAAACAACTGTTGAATCTGTTATATATAAAATAAATAATAAAATCTACTACATAGTCACCTCTTTAGGTGTCAAGGCTGTTCCATTACAAGAAAAAGAAAAAGAAGAATTTCTTAGACAAGATCTCATACAGTCCAGGCCTTCAGCCCACTATGTATCAAAGGTAACCTTAATACATATATATGGACCTCACTATAGTGATGACCTTGATCTGATCTTCCTCTCTCGCCTCTCCCCAAGTGCTGGGATTATAGCCGTGTGCCACCACACCTGACTGTGAAATTCCAAATTAAAATGGACAATCATTGTGGCCCTTCCCATGAGTACCTTTAGAAGTGGGTATTTTCATCCTGTGATGACGTCTTTTCTTTTACATGGATGTGCTTAAAGACTTCCAGCTTGGCAACAAACATAATCATCAGGAATGATGTGGAAGTAAGGAATCAAATGGATGACAATATTTCCTTGTTGACGACAACTTTGAAAATTTTGTTTATGTATTTTATACACTTAGGTATTCTGTGTGCACATATGTCTATGTTCTACATGTGTGCCTGGTTGCCTGTGGAGGTCAGAAAAGGATGATGGATCCCCTGGAACTGGAGTTAAAGATGGTTGTGGGCCACCATGTGCGTGCTGAAAATTGAACCCAGGTCCTCTGGAAGAGCAGTCAGTGCTCTTAAGCCCTAACCCATCTCTCCAGCCACAACTGTCAATGGATAACTTTTTTTTAAGTTATTAATCACAACATAATCCTGAAGACTAGAAAAAATGACTTAGGCTATGAAATGTGAGCCTGGGTTATTTAATAGCCCCAATTTGAAGAGTAACCCTCCAAGTTTTCAACAGGCTACCAGCTGTGTTCAGTGTACTTGTTCATGATACTGACATTGAATACATTTTCTCATAAAGAAATTTTCAAGATACAAAAGAAAAAAAAAAAACAAGTTGGATAGCTGTGATGAAGATAAATGGAACATGGGCAGTTACTACAAGAGTTTTTTTTCCTTAAGTTTTATTTCTTTATTATGTATACAGTGTTCTGCCTGCATGTTGTCTGCATGCCAGAAGAGGGAACCAGATCTCATTACAGATGGTTGTGAGCCACCATGTGGTTGCTGGGAATTGAACTCAGGACCTCTGGAAGAACAGCCTGCACTCTTAACCGCTGAGCCATCTCTCCAGCCCCACTATAAGAAATTTAACAGGCAAATTCTAACAAAAGATTGTTATGGAAAGACAAAGGAGATATAATTATAGGGAAAAAAAAGTATGTAATTTATATATATATAACTTATTTCAGATTAAAAACAAAACAAGAGGAGAGATATCTCAATGGTTGAGAGCAGAGGACCCAGGTTTGGTTCACATGACCCACAGAGGACAACTCCCAACTCTAGTTTCAGGGGAGTACAGTGCCCCCTTATGGCTTCCCTGGGCTCCTGCATACACGTAGTGCACATACACTCTCACATACATGCAAAAGTAATGTTAAAATATCTATAGTGGGAGTGTATTCCACACAATAATTTCCTTTTCTTTGATATGCATATACATAGAAAAGTAGACAGTTAACATTTAACTGGATATCCTTTATTTTGATTTCTTCAGTCTGGTAACTCTAAGGGAGAGGCAATTCTTTCTTAGATTTCCTCAGACCTAGGTTACTTTGTTGAGGAATAGCAACCCTTTTTTGTTCTGTGGGAAGAATGAATTCGTACAGATCCCCCAGCCTCTTGTGTTGGTTTTGTTGTTTGATAGGGACTCTCTTGTTCCTACTGTGTGGCGTCAGGCTTTCGTGCCGTTGGCTTGCCTCAACTGTTTGGGACTTCTTGGTTACCATATCATGTTTATCATGTCAGGATTAGGCTGGACTCCCTGGTGGCTGTAGTGTTTCGGCTCATGACGTTCCTCGTTTTCTTGGCAACTGGTGCAGGTCCTAAATAGGAAGAGAGACTGGGTGGCCATCGGGCTTCTCTTCGGTGTTTTCCAACCACGTAACCAGGGAAAACTGTATCCCAGTTTACCTTTGATGGCTATAGTGTACCCCTCTTGGCCTGGCATAATTATGAATGGTGCTTTCTTTCACTTGACTGTGTCCCAATTTAGACAATAAATTACATTTTCATGTGGCTTATGACCCAAGGCAAAGACTGGAATATTGTGTCATTTCTCTCTGTGATCTCAACACTCACTTTGGCAATGTCGGGCAACAAATAGCCCAGTTAATTTGGAAAGTAGAATTCATACCCTTGACCTGGGGCACATGCTCTGTGCCAGGACTCCGGAGAATAAAGACTGATTTGGTTTCTCTGTGACAGTGTATTTAATTACTCTACTGCCTGCCTGCCTCTCTCTATTGCCTAACACTTTAGGTTCCTTTATCAGGGATCATCAAAGTTATTCTCTTTCATCTGCATGGGAGGAAAGAGTTTGGTGTTTTATTTTTTTAATTCCTGATGTGTCTTACCATCCATGTCCAATCCAATCTATTTTAATATTCAATATTAATTTTAATCATTGTACCTATAATTCCTCCCCAAAAGACAACAGCCATAGGTAAGGTGTTAAGAATTCAATATGTATGTGGTAGTTTGAATGTGTTCAGCTCCCATACGCTCCTAGGAAGTGGCACTATTAAGAGGTGTGGCCTTGTTGGAGGAAGTGTGGTCCTGTTGGAGAAGGTTGGATGACATCATGCCTTTAATCCATACCTTGAGGCTGAAGGGCACACCTTTAAACTGGGCCACACCTTCTGCTGGAAGTGTGTCACTGTGAGGGTGGACTTTGAGGTCTTTTTCTCAAGCTTCACACAGTGTGACAGTCAGTTGACTTCCTGTTGCCTGCAGGATGTAGGACTCTCAGCTCCGGCACCTCATCTGCCTGCACACTGCCATGCTCTCTGCCATGATGATAATGGACTGAACCTCTGAAACTGGAAGCAAGTTTCCTTTATAAGAGTTGCCGTGGTCATGGTGTCTCCTCACAGCAATAGAAACCCTAACTAAGACAGCGTGTTAGGCACCGTTGGAAGTTCTTGATTTCTTTCCATTTTCCCAGCTGCACTGTGAGGTCATTTCTAGTCTTTCCATTTTCTGACTATGAATATCAAGGTATAGGAGGGGTAGAGATCTTACCCCAAAGCCCAAAGATCCAGCAAGAAAAATCAACCTGCTAGAAAGAGTAGCTGGCTTTAGAACTCATATTATCACCACCTAAAGCACTTACGTCAATCAACTCCTCTTCTTAGCTCTCCAGAGCTGCATGAGGCTTAATGCTACTTCATTCGGTCTGTTGTTTCTGTGGGGCTTGAGGAAGTGAGTTAACCCAGGAGCCCAGAGAACCTTCGTGAACTTGGAGCTGAGTAAACAGCTTTCTGGCTCTGGTGTAAATGATGGTTATGTCGCTCACCACCTGCCAGCCCATCCTTTCTTATGTGCACAAACATAGCACTTCTTGCTGCTACGTCAATCTAGAAAATTCTATGTAGATCTAACATAAAAGTAGAAAGCAGCCATGGGGATTTGTTCCAGGCCCCTGGGCATTCTCAACGGAGAGTCCCTTTACAGAGTATAACCCCAAATCACAGGATTTTAAATCAGAAAGAGGCAGAAACAACAGAGGCCAATCCCATCATTTTGCAAATAAGAGAAGAAATTATAGGGAGCCGGGGTTACTTACCCACATCTCACAGCTAATTCCCGCTTCTCACAGCTAATTAGTGTAATTAGTGATGAGGCCACAATTGCCACCAAGTGTCCTAACAAAACCACTGTTCCGTTCATCCCGTCCCTCTGACTCTCTCCTTCCTTGCTTTGGGAACAGAAAGAGAAAATGATGAAAACCATGCCACTCTGTATATAGAAAGGATCTTTTTTTTTTTTTTTTTTATCTAAAGGCTCTGGGCCCACAATTTTGGGGGAGACATTAGTACTTCAATTTTCAAAGAAATTTAAGCCAGTTACTATCTCTCTCACAGCTCTCTATCATTTTTTTAAGGTTTTTCTTATTGTGTGTGTGCGTGTGATATATATTGACTCAGTAAACCATATGACTTTTCACCCCCAAGATTACACTGACTCTTATCTGTCCAAATTAGCATTTTCTTCTGGACTGGTGCCCCTGCCAAGATCAACAGGCTTGGAGGCCAGGGCTTAAGGTGACCACATCACCCCTCTGCTGGGCAAGATAAAGATATTTCCTACACTAAGACTAATGAGTTTCAAAAGGTGAAAGCTTTGCTTTTTCTTTGGGGTTTTGGTTTTGTCCTACTTCCTGATAGCAATCAGCTTTCTGGTAGGTGTTCTAGAAATTACAACATTCACACAAGATTTAAAAAAAAAAATGGGGCATGAAGTCAACAAGAGAAGGGGAGAAAAGCAAGGCATTTCATAACTTGTCAAGAGACAACTATTTCACATTCTAAGCAAACAAAAACACATTCTTGTCTGGGAACAGAAGGAGACATGTACAAAGAAAAAACTCAGGGTTGGGGGGTGGCTAATAAATTTTTTGTCATTCGTTATGGGGAAAACAGGTTGATTCTCAAGATCTTGTTAGAACTGTTAAGCTCTAAAAAACACTTCTTTCTCATAAACCAAGATAAAAATTAAGAAGATGAATGACTCCTGTTCAATTATGCCCTTGTCATCTCTTCTGAATTAGTACTACTGTCTCTAGACCAAACCAGGTACCCCAGGATGCCTGGGTCACCAATAATTCCTCCTACAGATGTACTATTACGTGAGTATGTGTGAGGTCACGTTCCTGTACATGTGAGTAGGGATCAGAAGACAACCTGGTGTGGTCGTTTGAATGAAGATGGCCTCCATAGGCCCATAGGGAGTGGCACTATTAGGAGGTGTGGCCTTGTTGGAGTGGGTGTGGCCTTGTTAAAGGAAGTGTGTCACTGGGGGCAGGCTTTGAGTTTTCAGAACCTCAAGCCAGGCCCCGCGTCTCTCTCTCTTCCTGATGCCTGTGGATCCGAATGTGGGACTCTCAACTACTTCCCAGCACCACGTCTACCTGCATGCCTCCATGCTTCCTGCCATGAAGATAATAGACTTAACCTCTGAAACTGTAAGCTGCCACCACCATTAAATGTTTCCCTTTATAAGAGTTGCTGTGGTCATGGTGTCTCTTCACAGCCATAGAAGCCCTAACTAAGACACCTAGAACAGTCAGTTTTTCTCCTTCCACCATGTGGGTCCCAGGATCAAACTTAGGTTGTCAGGCTCATCAGGAAAAGCCCTTATTCATTCAGCCATCTCAGCAGCCTCCTTTTTTTTTCAGTAGTTCTTTTGATATATATATATATATATATATATATATATATATATATATATATATTAGTCTGCTTATGTATTTGCTATGAGGTCTCATTTCAGAGACGGGGTTTTATTACTTGATGTGCACGCCCTGTGTGAAGAACAACGCTGGATACCCAGAAGTGCTCGAAATTTTTTATTGAGTGAACAACACTAAATGATTCCCTAGACATTTCAAAGCCTCAGATTCTCTCCCTGCTCTTTCCGTGTCTGTCGCTCTATCTCTGTCTCTCTGTGTCTCTGTCTTTCTCTGTGTGTTTCTCTCTGTGCTCTGTGTGTGTCTCTTTTTTCTCTTTCTCTCTCTCTGTGTCTCTGTCTCTGTGTGTGTGTGTGTGTGTGAGTGTGTGTGTGTGTGTGTGTGTGTGTGTGTGTGTGAAGACAGAGGTCAACACCACTCAAGAACCATCTACCTTGATCTTTGAGTCAGGATCTCTCACTGGAACATGGCGTTTACTGATGAGGCCCAGCTGGCTGACCAGAACACCCCAGGAATCCTCCTGCCTCTGCCTTCCCAGCTGAGAATGCATCACACTTGTCTTTTCACGTGGGTGCTGGGGCTTGAACTCAGGTCTTCATGCTTGCCAGCAAGCTCTTTAACAACAGAACTATTTCCTCCACCTGTCAGAGAGCTTCCTCATCCTACTTGTCAGCTATTCTTATCTTCCATGTCTCATCATCACCCGGGAATATCTCATCTCTGAAATTTTTAACCCCACAGAACTTACTCTAGAAATTAGAAATCTGTTGCCCAGTGTCTCTGCTTTTCCTCTGGTGAATTCTGCACTCCTTGTTCCCAATAGCTCAGGACTCTAACTGTAAGGCGAAGTTCCCACAACCAGCTCACAGGTGACTGCTCCTTGGCCTCGGGACTTGCTTAGTGAGAATATCACCGACTAGCTCCATCTCACTGCCTCTCGCTCTCTCCCCAGCAAGCCGATTTCCACCCTTCCACTCTATCAAAACTGCTTCTGCCAAGGTCGCCACCCCACGACCCCATCAGTTTATGAAAAATAAAAAATTGAAATCCAATGTCCAGTGTCAGGAGTATATAGAAAAACAAGACCTTTCATATCAACAAGAGCAAAACATGGTCCAACCATTTTGGAAAGCAAATGGTGGTCTCTAGTAAGGTTGAAAATATGAACTACCAACAGCATATTCCCCTAGGAAAACTGCCACCCAAGAACACAAGAAGACATCTCTATGAATGGTCACCACGGCCTTGTTTGTAATTGTAGGAATAATTTAGAAATCACCCATATGGCCAGTGCGGTGGAGACATGTAATTCTTCCTTAAAATTCACTTTCCCCCTTTTCACCAGTGACAGAACATGACAATATTAGGTAACGTTCAGGCGAAGTTCTTTTTCCTAGTCTGTGTTGGTGGGGTCTGTATTTAAGCTTTAGGCCAGTGGATATAAATAAAATGGGAGCGTGAAACTTCTTCCCTTTATCTATTGTACTGCAGTAATGAAGACACACACACTAGAAGGGTGGTAGACTTTGTGGTGACTTTGTGGTACAGTTGCATGTCCTAGAACAGCCGCAGTGGAGGGGGGCGGGGTCTTTTCACTGTGATGTGTCACATCATCCCTGGAAACTTGTCTTTGGGTTTAGACACAAGAGCCGGAGATGTTTCTTAGCGTGTTTAGGATTCCCTTGGTTTTGGCTCATGGTAGTTATCCTTGGCCAAATATAATCTTAACATTTAGAGTGATATGCCCATCAAATTATCTCTAGATAGCTATAAGTGGATAAATACACACACACACACACACACACACACACACACACACACACACACATCTCTCAGTGTGGGTAAATCTCAGAAATACAATATTTCAGTAGCACATATGAAATCATACCATGTGTTTAAAATTAAAAATGAAAAGTATATACATTATTTGTGGATATATACATAATTTCCAAAATACAGACTGTCTGTGACTCTAAATCATACTAACTTCATGATAATGGCCTCCTTTGAGCAAAGACTTTTCCGATTTGACATTGATCCTCGTGGTGTGTTACTCATTATCTTATCAGCCTGGAGAGACAAAGCCAGACTAGTTAAGAGCCCTGGGTTTGTTTGTCGAGATCTCTCAGAGGTGATCTGTCCATTTCTCCAATGCTTTCCTTAAAAACTGCCTCGCAGAAATAACACCCTGCTCTTCAGTATTTGAGTCACCCTCCAGCGACAAGGCATAAGCAAGCCAGTCACATTAGTTGTGGCCTGTAATCCCAGCATTGACGAGGTTGATATAGGAAGATAGGGCGTTAGAAGTCGGCCTGGGTTTCATAGCAAGCACCTGCCTTGCAAAACCAAGGGCTGGAGATGTAGCTCTATGGTATAGCAGAGTGCTTGGCATCCACAAGGCCTGTGTTCCATCCCCAGAACAAGAAAGAAAGAAGGGGAAAAAGAAGGACAGGAGGAAGGGAGGGAGAGAAAGAACAAAGACTAGATATTTATGACTTTAAAATCCAAGCAAAGAAGACTGCCAAGCTTCAGTAAGGAGAAGAAAGAAGTGGCTGCTGTGGCTTCACCACAACTTACTTCTATTCACCTATTCACCAAAACTTCCCTGAGTCCATTTGGCGTTGAGTTAAATTTAAAAATACAAACCCCATAGTTAACATAAATGAAGTATACATTGTTTTTTTAAATACAGAGGAAATTTGAGCTTATAAAGGGAAGAAATCATCCTATGAACAACCTTCACACTCTTAATAATGATGAGAATAATAACCCCCAATTACTGGGCTCTTACCATGTGTCAGGTATGTTGTATATATTCAGTTATTTAAGGCAATTTCCCAACAATCATGTATCATAAATTTTAAAACATTTGCCACCACTGACAGTTTTATGCTGGTGGTCTTGTCTCATGAGGCAAACTAAATGGTTGACTACATTGTACAATTAAATCAAGGGTTTACTTGTCCCCAACAATCTTCTCCACGTGCTGCAACACTGTTAACTGTTCCAGTCTCCTCCCTGTTGCTGTGATAAAACACTCTAACAACAAGCACTTTAAGGGGGACATTTTACAGATCAATTTCATTTTACAGATTGCCTTCTACCATTAAGAGAAATCAGGGCAGGAATTAAAGCAAGAACTTGAAGCAGAAACCATAGAGAAGCATTGCTCACTGGCTCATGCCTAGCTAGCTTTCTTATGCAAGCCAATACCACTCTGCACAGGGAATGGCACTTCCCACGGTGGACTGGGCCCTCCTGCATCAATTAACAATGTCCCAGAGACCAGTCGGAACTGGACAGTCCCTCAATTGGGACTACTCTCTCAGATGACTCTAGGCTGTGTCAAATTGACAAAGCTCACTGGGACACTAAGCCTCATGCTCCTTTTAAGGTTAAGTCCTTAACCCATAGTATCAGTAAAGTTTTTTTTTAATCAGAAAGATAAACATTAATCTGTAGAGTACTGTAAACAAACTACAGTTTAGCAACAATCTATTAAAAGAATGCGATACTGGTCATAGACACGTCAATGGACAATGTCAAACTCTTGAGAATCAAGGACTCTCAGAAGAAAGCCTGGGACAGAAAGCCCTAAAATAAAGGGAGGTGGTGCCAAAGTGCTGTCGGGTATGCCATGGATTTTGTAACCTCCTTCTGCAATGGAATGTTCAAATTGAGAAAGTCTCGAATGTCATCATCTATCCCAATCCCCTTTATTACCACATCCAATAAAATCACCCCTACCAAAGAGGAAACTTACCCCAGAGTCTGAAATGGAGTCATCAGCCTGTTAACTCAAGGTCACCGGTCACTACTCAGTGTTAGGGGGATCTTACCTAAACCTCATTCGTGGCCTGTACCAATGTCTTGAAGGGGTTTTCTGATGTTTTCCTTTTTGTTTTGGTATTTTGTTTGTTGTTTTTGGAGATAGGGTCTCATGGAACCAAGGCTGGCCTCAGATTCACTAGATTAGATGAGGCTAGACTTTAACTCTGGACTCTTCTGCCTCTCCTTTCCCAGCTCTAAGATGATAGGCCCGAGCCACTACTTCTGCTTCCATATATTTCCTTCTGCTCGCTCCTTAGTTTTAGCTCTTACACTTGGGCCTTTGATCCATTTTTAGTAGAGTTTTGTATGGGATGAGGGATACAGGTCAAGTTTCAAATTCTTGATTATGTAACCCAGTTTTCCCAGTGTTATATGCTAAAGCGGCTTCACCTTCTATAGTCTATGTCTGTGGTGCCTTTCTTGAGACTCAGTTAGAGGTAGGTGTGTGGGTTTGTTTCTGGATCTCCACTCTGCTCTTTTGATCCATGTGTCTGTTTTTTTTTTTTCCTATGTCCACTCCAGGCTGTTTTGGTTACAATAACTCTGTAATATCTTTAAATCAGGTATTGTATTTGTTTGTTTGTTTGTTTTTGTTTTTCGAGACAGGGTTTCTCTGTGTAGCTTTGCGCCTTTCCTAGAACTCGCTTTGGAGACCAGGCTGGCCTCGAACTCACAGAGATCCGCCTGCCTCTGCCTCCCGAGTGCTGGGATTAAAGGCGTGTGCCACCACCGCCCAGCTAAATCAGGTATTGTAAATGCCTCTAAATTTGATCTTTAGGTGTCTGTGCATGTGTGGGGAGAGATGTATGTGTATTTGTGAGAACTTGTATGTGGAGGCCAGAAGAACACTGTTGAGTGTCTTCCTCAATTGCTCTCCACCTGATTTTTTGAAATAGGATCTCTCACTGAACCTGGAGCTTTCCGATTCAGCCAGACTGGCTTATCTGGCAACACCTGGGGATCTTCCTGTCTCCCCTTCCCTGGTGCTGGCATTATAGACACAGACTGGCACACTTTTAATGTGGATCCCTCCCATCCAATTTCTGGTCCTAAGATTTGCACATCAAGTACTCTACCCACTGTGTCCTATCTCCTGTTCCCTTAGATTTGATTTTTTCAAAACTACAAGAGGTCTTTTATATTTCTATATACATTTTAGGGTTCAGTGTATTTTTGTTGTTGTTGTTGTTGTATTGGCTAAAGAATAATATTAGCATTTTAGTGGAGATTGACCAAAGTATATAACTAACTTTATGTATGACCCTTTTAACAGTGTTAATAATATTCAGATTGTTCCAGTGAAAAACAGTATGGAGGTTTAAACATAAAACTAAAAAGATGAATTTTTTAAAAAAAATTTTTAAAAAGATTAAAAAAAAAAAAAAAAGAGCCGGGTGGTGGTGGTGGTGGTGGTGGCGGCGGCGGCGGCTACAGAGTGAGTTCCAGGACAGACTCCAAAGTTACACAGAGAAACTCGGTCTCAGGAAAAAAAAAAAAAAGAAGAAGAAGAACGGGGCTGGAGAGATGGCTCAGTGGTTAAGAGCAATAACTGCTCTTCCCGAGGACCGGGGTTCAATTCCCAGCACCCACATGGCAGCTCACAACCATCTGTAACTCCAGTTCCTGGGTGCCTGACACCCTCACACAGACATACATACACTAATGCACATAAAATAAAAATAAATAAATTCTTTAAAAAAAAAAACAGATATTTAAAAAACAACAACAACAAAAAGAGCCGGGCGGTGGTGGCACACGCCCTTTAATCCCAGCACTTGGGAGGCAGAGCCAGATGGATCTCTGTGAGTTCGAGGCCAGCCTGGTCTACAGAGCGAGATCCAGGACAGGCTCCAAAACTACACAGAGAAACCCTGTCTCGAAAAAAATGAAGAAAAAAAAAAAAAACTAAAAAGAGCTCTCCCATATGATCGAGCTGTCCCACTTCTGGGTATATATCCGAAGGGAATGAAATAACCATGCTAAAGGGACCCTTGCATGCTGTATCTATTGTGGCATTATACACTATAGCTAAGCTATTTCCTCAGTCTAAAAGTCCATCAGTGAATCAATGGATAAAGGGAATGTGGTGAATACAGATTGGCATTTGGCCATAAAAAGTAAAATTCTGTTACTTGAAGCAAAGTGGATATTACTGGAAGACATGATGTTGAATGAAATAAGCCAGACACAGAAAGACGAGTGCCATGTGTTCTCTCTCGGATGTGGAAGTAACAACAAAGAAACCCAAGCTGAATGGAGAATGGTGCCTACCGAAGCTTAGACAAGGTATGGTTAGAGCTAACGATTCGTGCTATGTATACCTATGGCAATAATGGGCTGAACCCCATTAACGTGGACAACCAGTTCATGTTCATCAGAAGTAAAACGTGGAGAGAAAAATAACAGAAGACAGAAGAGAGAGATATTTTTGATTCACTTCATAATTTTAACTAGCACACACACACACACACACCACACACACACACACACACACACACACAC